TTTTTTGGGATGATGTATATAATAGAAATGATAGTGAAAAGGCTTTGTAAGGTTTTTCATTTTTCAATGAATGAGATGATTCACGATTTCTAAGAACACCTGACTCACCCTTACTCCTGCGCACTCCCCACCCTCACATGTGGGAAGTCATGCAGTCTCACGCCTCAGTGGAGCCCATAGCAATAAAAAATGGTTACGACATGACACTCTTCATGCTAGGGGAATCTTTCCAATGTATATCATTCATCCTCAAAGGAGTCATCTTATTGACCATTGCTCTCTGTATTAAAATCACCACTCATGAGTCATAACCGAATTGCTGGTTATCTTCTAATTATATGAGACCTCCACATTAACCATGTTTCAAGTACAATTCATACTACTTCCTAACTCAGTCATTTTTATATTGATCTAATTCACACTTCAAGGGATACATTACCTTTCTCGCCCTCCTAACAAGTTCAGTTTTGAAAAATGGTTTGGCATTAATGTTTTATCAATAAAAAAAGTTTTCAAATATTTTTAAATTAATTATTTTTATGAATAAGAAATTTGATTTGATAAGATGTGTCATGTCGTTGCTGAACGGATGTGTTGCAAGAGTGTTTTTTCAATCGTGACCCTATATTTTCAATAAATAAATAGAGAAATAGAGATTTTATTTAAGTTTTTCTTTATTAGTTGTTATAAGTTCTTTGCATTCCATTACTCTAGTACGATTGCTCAGATATATGTTGAGTTTGATGGGATTATTCAATGTGTAAGTGTCGCCCCAAGAATATAGAGGTAATCCGTTCTATCCTAGGATATATTTATCCACGAATCTTGGGCACCATAGATAGAGCAAAGTTGCCTTAAGAACAAAATGTCTAACATTGGGCTCGGATTTTTCCTTGTCACATTTATATATTTTCGTACGGTACGTTTTAACTGTGTGTAGCATGTTTCAATTTCTTGTGTACATTTCATGTAATTGTGAATATTGTCAAAATAATTTTTCTAACACAGATTATCCCTCTAAATGATTTTAACATCATTAATTTGGATAACATTATGATTTTGTTCGGTTTCACTTTTTTTTTTCATAACTCTTATTTCACTCTAAAAAGTGATTCTCAATTTACTAGTGCCCTAGTGATGAGAGGCACGTTACCGTTCAATAAAATATACTAATATTTTTTAGGGAAAATGAAGTAAATTAGTAGTCGATTGGGGAAAAATATTAATCTTTATTTCCATCACATTGCCTATTCATTTTTCTAGCAATATATCTCACTAGAATGATGGTAATTCAGTTGGAAACAGGTCGGGGTGAGAGTATGTGTTCGATCCTTCATAATATTATCTTTTGGAAAAGTTTAAAGCCTTAATCTCAAGACCCGTCCCAAATCGAACTAGTCGCGAAGCGATAAATCGATTGGAATATCTTTAAAAAAAAATTACTCCAACTGTAAATCAACTTGTATTTTCGTAGTATAGATTAATCAAATACTATTGTGACGGTGGTCAATGGGTCACTATAATGATAATAACTACCTCTCTAACCTTAACTACATAACATTTGAGAATTGGAAAATTATTTCTTCCACTAGTGTCACCGGCAATAGTAAATGAAAAGTATTTTATTTCTGTTATTTTCTTGAAAACGATCGCTTTCTTTTATGTTTTTATTCTTTCTATAACTACATAACCGCTCTATAGTTTCCGAATGGACAATCTGATAATTGATATGTTGAATTTGTTTGACATGGACGAATTAGTCGTATAGTTTATAACGCTTAGGTGTTTGAATTAGATGTTGCAATCAGATTAATTAATGTCATACATTTTTTTGGTGAAACTTTTCATTGTATTAAAAGGGTACCACTAGAATTGATCTAGTGATGAAGGGTTTGGGTAGGTTATATTAGGTTATGTGTTTAATTTTTACTTGTATCCAAATAAATAAATAAAAAGGTAATCCTTTTGTAATCAGTGGCTCCGCCACTTGGCTCTTAGGTGGTGTCTTGGCACCGGCTAATTTTCAAAAATGCTACATATTTTTTTTAAAAATTATAGTATGACCTTAATATTGGTTAGGTTTTTAAAAATAATACAACATTGGTACTAGGTAGATTTTACTAATTGAATCTTTCGGCACTGGCTGGATCTTCTCCCTGGCTCCGCCACTCTTTGTAATCATCATGTAAATTTATGATTATAATTATTATAAGGGTAAAACGAACTTCTACTCTTATTTATTGCTTTAGTTACATTTTTCATTCTAGTATATTAACTTAAAAACGTTATACTCTAATTTAACGAAATATGCTGTAGTTTTTCATATATTTTGATTGTAAGTATTAACATAATAAAATACACTTATTGTAGACATAACCTTCGGTTGAATAAACACGACTAAAGACAAAAGGGCCCTCTATGTGACCACTCACGAGCAATGCCACCGTCAATCTTCGGGTCCTCCTTCAAGCTTCTTCTTCACCAAGGGAGGCTTGGGGTCCTACACTCCTACAGTCCTACTGTTGTTTCATGTGCAATAATGGAGCTTCCATTTTAACTTCTTTTGACTTCTAGTTCTTGTCCGTATAAGAAAACAGGCAGTGGCTTTCGATTTTATCTTCTTTTATGAATCCATATATGGTGTTTTTCTATTCATGACTGCTACATATAGCTGTAAGATTCAGGTCCTGTGCTCCTATTTTCAGTTGATGTTAAGTATTCCTGCTGCAGCAAGTTTGAGTGCCTAGAAAATAAAATCGAATATAATTTTGATTAGAACAGAAATCTATTGAGTTGGTCAAGACGCATGAGTAATTTTATTTTTTTTCTCAATATGTGTGGGGAGAACCTTTTCTGGATTTAAAAAATGAATATTGTACATGTCTGTTTCTTTTATTTTTTACAGATTAAATTCTTGATTATATTTAGTCAGAGACTCTAATAAGACGTCAAATAACTAATTTTGATTTTTTTATATCTCTTTAATCTATAAATTCATTGGTTGCATTGCTGCACTTAAAATTTTGCAATCCGCTAAGATCAGTGAGGGGTGGAAATGAATTGGGTTAGGTTAGACTATGTTTTAAATATGTTAAGTCTCTATAAAATATTTTAAATTTGACTTGATTTATTAGCCGGATGTAAATCAAATTATAAGTTTAAAAATAAAAACCAAAAGCTTTTATTTTGTTAGTCTGTTTATGTCTATTAAACATTCAAGAAATAAAAATAATAATCAAAATAATATTTATTTTATTATTTAAATAATAAATTTATTTATTTAATTTAAAATGAATTATATAATATAAGTCAATCTCTAAGTTTATAGACCAGGCATTATAAAAAAAAATTATAACCTGTTTTTTAAATAAATTCTTTTGAAGGTTTGGATTTGCTCTATTTTACGAGATATAATAAATCAAGTTTAGTCTAATATAAATCGAGTTGTAAATCACTTATAAATTGTTTTATGAACCCAAATATCATGTACTCGGTGCGTAAGTTTTATTCCATTAATATTAAGGGCCGACTAAGATGAAAAGGAAAAATTACAACAAACTTTATCAAAAAAAAAATGTAATGTCAAATTTTTTTTTTTTGAGAGATTTAGTCCTGCAATGATATAGATGTTCCTGACTCGAATAGAATTGTCTCTGAATATCCGTGATTAATTTGGTTTAAGGCTTTCAAGTTGTTGAAGTAAATAACTTTTTTTTGTTTTGTATAAAAGTAAACATTTCAGTTAAGAGAAAGATTAGTTATGATAATGAAACCCTGTCAACTTTACCTAATTGTTTTATCTTTTTTTTTTATATATACATTTCTTACAAGCAGTATTGAATGATTGACCACAACAAGGTTTCAAATAGGGAAAGCTCAAAGTCGGTGGTCCCACATCACTTGGGTACTATGGATTGCTGTTGGGGGTCATCCATCACAAATTTCTTTTTTCGGCACAACCTGCATCGCCCTCCCTATGAAATGAAACTAAACAGTTTGATATCTCTTTCATTGTTAATTTTCTTAATAACCCGATAAAAGTTGAAAATGCAACATCGCAATAATAACACCCACATTTCCGAGAGAAAAACATCGTTTTCCATCCAACTAGCCATCTGCCACCTTTAAACCCCTTACCAGCAAAACATAACAATTAACAACCCGGCATTGTTTCATTCTCTCTCTCTCTCTCTTTTTTATATTGAAAAAATATTTTTATTTTTTTAATAATAGAATTTTATATTATTTTAAATAAAATGATACTATTAATGTATATTTATTTGTTTTTTATATTCTCTTTTCTATATAATATTTTCTCTTTCACTTTCCTACTAAATTATAGAGAAAAGAGAATATAAAAAAATAATAAAATAGAAAAAATATTTTTATTGTAACAAGAGATAAAGTTATTTTCTGTCGCCCAAAATAATTATTTTAAGATTTAAAAAATAAATAAAAGATTCTAAAAATTTTAATTTTATCTTGTATTATAAATTTTATCAAAATATATTGTATTTTTTTTATGTCGTTTTTTCCTGTTGCGACAAAAATGTTAATCCCATAAATATAAGTCAAAATGCAATCTTCGGCAGCACTCTGTTATATACTTTAAATTGGAATTAATATTTCTATAAGGTAATTTTATTCAAGTAAAAAGAAAAAAGAGAAAAATAAATATAGAACGGACACACTTTTATTTATTTATATATATATATATGTATATATATATAAAAGAAATAATTTTATATGTTAGAACAAGCTAGACATTAAACTAAGCTTTAAAATAAGAGAGCTTTTCCCTTTTTTATTTATTTATATTTTTTTTTTTAATTCTTGCCTAAAACTTTCATTTCCCATTTTACGCTTCGGTTTGGTTTTTTCCGTTAAGAGAGGAAAAGACAAAGCCCAAAAGCAACCACCGCAGACACAAAAAGCAAGAACCTACGCACGCAACGGTGGTGTTGTGTTTTCTTTTTTCCTTTTTTTCTTTTGTCACGATGATGGGTTTGAACAAACTCGGAACTGCGATCACGGTGATCACCGCCATCACTCTGGCGGCCCTCGCCGCCGAGATAATCTACGTGGTGTGGCGGCGCCGTCAGATGCTCCGTCCGCGCGTGCGCGTGGAGCCTCAGGAAGCTTCTCTTCAGAGCTCATCGTCTTCTACGGAGGAAAGAGAGCGTGAACTTGAGCTTGAGCTTGAGCAACAGGTTATGAAGTTGCAATGCCTCTATGGTCCCTCGAGGGTGCTTTTCACGATCAAGGAGGAAGAGAGAGAGGGATTAGACTCCGAAAACGGTTCCTCCGCTGAGTGCAGCGCTGTTAAGAACCCCACGGCGGTGAAAACGTCGTCTTCGTTTAGTGAAGCAATGGCGGTGGACGAGGTTGCTGTATCTGTGGAGGAGTTGTTGGTGTTGAAGGAAACGACGCCGTTCTCAACTCCGTGCGCTTCACCTCCGTACTACACACCGAACTCTTCACCAACTCGCGAGGCGTTTAAGGATAACAACGTTGGTAATGGATGAAAGGTATCAACACAACTTGATTAACGAAGTAAATAAATTTACGTTTTTTGTTTTTTTTTACCACTAATTTAGAATGTCAAGATTGTATTAGATTTTTTAGATTAGGGAATGGGTTCAATGTGTTTGAATTGCTGGGGCCATTTTTTAATTTTGATTTTTTTCTTTACAAAATTTAAAAATGAAATGAAACAATTAATGATGGATGAATGTGAAGTGAGTCGTACGAGAAAACCGTGGGCTTCAACGTTAATTAAATTAAATGCGGGCTTAGCTGTTTATGGTTTTTCAATTTTTGTGCTCTCTTCTATCTATGTCCTGATTTTCGAGTTAAAGTTGACGCTATTGAACGGACACTTCTCAGGCCTTGCACTTCCTCTGAATCGAGTCATTGCTCTTTATTATTAAAAGCCTCGCATGCTTTTTCCTTTTTACTTTTCTTGTTTTTTTTTTTTCCCAACTGTTTTTGTTTTGAATCTTTTGATGAATCCCTAATGCTATGCTTTTTACTAATGGGCCTTGGCCTCATCCTTTAGGCCTTTCAAACAGCGATGTGTTATCCATTGGATGTTGGGTTTGTATGACTTTCGTTAAGCACTCGTTAACAAAAAAAATAAAAAATAAACCTTTTTGAGTTTTTAATATAGGGAATAATATTTTTTTATGTCATAAGAGATAATTTTATCTTTTACACATATATTAAAGTGTGTGTGGCTTATGTGGAATCATGTGAAGAGAAGAGAAAGAAAAAGAAAATATAGAGATCACACAATATTATGTATGTATAGAAGATAAAATTAGCTCTTATAAATTATAATATGATAAACATTAACCCCTTTAATATAAGAAAAAATGTTTATCACGTAGTTGGAGATAAAGTTATTTCATTTTGGGGTTTAAGATAAAAATGCAAAGTGTTTTGAAAAATTTATTTGTCTCATTATAAATTTGAGAAATGTAGCTCTCATGTTGTTGCAATTTTTTTCTTTTTTCTTTTTTGTTTGCAGCAACACATAAAAAGTCAGGATAGGCAGAGGTTGACTTCTTTTTTTCATAAAAAAAAAAAAAAAAAACCAGTGGTTCCACTTTTTACTGGTACGGTGCAAAAAAATCTTATGTGGAAAAAAGGAGCCTATAAATTTTACGAAAATACTTTGTATTCCATTACGTCGTTTTGAAGTACAGCATACTGTAGGAGAAACATTAATATCTTTAATGTATTAAGATTCAAGATATTTTTTTGTGAATAAGAATTTTTTTAATTTCTTAATAATTCTCCTTGGAATATTCGTTAGCAAAATTATAAATTTGTTTATAAGTGTTGAGATATATAGTCCCACATTGGTTGTATGTGCAACTAATGTGGAGTTTATAAGGCTTTGGGCACTCCCATCCCTAGAGCTAGCTTTTGGGGTGGTGTATCTCAAGGTTCTTTACATAGTATCCGAGCTTGAGCCCTCACCGCCTCCCACTTTCAAGTGGAATTAAAATAAAATGCACAAAAAGTTAAACCAAAAATTGAAAAATTGGGCCTGTGCAATTCCACGCTTCTTGTCCAAAGGGCTCTTGCGTGAGGCCCAGTCTACCTGTACTAAGAAATTTCACAAGAGAAAGTGGGGAGCGGCGAAAGTGGGGAGCGGCGAGTCTCTGATACCATGTAAAGAACCTAGGTCACCACCCCAAAAGCTAGCTCAAAGAGTGGGAGTGCCCAAGACCTTATAAACTCCACATTAACGTGGGACTATATATCTCAACAAGAAATGAATTTAGGAACATATAAAAGGAAGCTCTCGTATGTTTCAATTTTCCTTTCAAAGCAACCCTACACCTATCTCGAGTACTGATCTCCATAAGAAAGTCATAAATCCATGCTCAAGAAAAATTTGTGCTGCAAACCCACAGAAACAACTTCGGAAAGAGGGAAAAAATAAAAATAAAGGCGCACTAATAAAACTAGTACTCATATACCCCTGAAAAAAAAATTACTTGTATTTACCATTAGAAAAATAATTACTTATGTAGCATTTGACAATCTTTTCGCTCAATTTTTACTAGTCAAATTGTTCTTCATCATTGAAGGTGATAGCTTACTCAATCAATAAAGTTTTGTGCTATTGATTGCAAAGACTATGTATGACTATTGCATCACAAACTATTTAAGGAAAAAAAATAAAAATAAAAATTAGTGATACCAAAACGGCAAAACCTCAAGCATACTAGACATTCGGAGTTGACAATGTTTCCTTTTTAGCTTCTGCTATGGATTTTCAATGGAACATAGAGTTGAAACAAATCAACCCATACAGCCATGGAATATACATCTGCCACAAATAAAATCTCTTGAAAAAATTTCATATAAAAACTTAACTTCTATTTTTAAAAAAATAGCAAAAAAGAATTCAAGACAAAGTATATGAAATCTTTTAAAAAAATTAAAACAAAAAAACTTACTTGAAGATAAAAATATGGAAATTTACCTACTTATATACAAGTTTACACATCTGGGCCAAAATCTAAAGCTCGGCCTAACACTGACGCAATATCAACAGCCAACCCATTATTATACCGTTACACGGGTCCTAATAGCCATAAATCCATCCCCTTTTAACTCTTGTCACAATGGTTTCAAAGGATATATTCTCAACGAGCAATGCCATATATCACGAATATTTTTTTATGAATTTGAATATTAAAAAAACAAATTATTATTGTTATAAACCTTGGGTCAATAAGTTATTAACTAATGAGAGAGGTTATACTTATTATTTCTTTTTTTTATTACTTCTTATTACCAAATCTTAATTGTTGATTTTGGTTAATCTAACGATTATAATTTATTGAAAATTAATAATTAATTAATAAGTATGACCCAATAAATTGTAATAGTTTGATTGACGAAAATCAACTATTAAAATTTAGTAATAAAAAAAAGATAATAAGGACAACTTCCCCTTGATTAATTAAGTGTTATTGTCTGATTACACGATTTAAATGGCTAACCTATAAAAAGTGGCCCAACCGCCCGACAATCATATCAGTGACCACGATCTATTGAGCTGGCTGATTAAAACTAGCCCAACCAACACTCATTTCTGTGACCACGATCAATAGAATTTGGTATAGGGAAACGTGGTACAATGACTTTTTTTAAATAAATAAAAAAAATTGTTCATAAACCCCCTATATATGGGATTTTTCTAATGTAGACCCGATGCACCATTTTTAAGGTGCACTTTTTTCCAAAACAGAAAAAATTTCTTGTACTTAAATCCTTTTCTTCTTCTTAAATTTCTCTTCTGTCCCTTTTTTTTTTTTTTAAGATAGGGACTCGGTCTATATTAAATAAGCTCCTATATATAGTATTTTATCACTTATATCCTTGCGTATTTTTTCTTATCAATTACCTGTGGTTATAATTTATTTAAATTCATCTTTAATACTATTAGTAATTGGACTAATTTATCCATTTTACCCTTAAAAATAATGTTATTTAAAAAGCATAATAAACATGAGACATATTCGGTCAGAAATCAATGAAACTAATATTCATTGCAGGAGAGATAAACAAGGGATGTATGCGTGGAGCTATAATAAGGAGACTGAGTCAAAGAGGTAACCGGTTAATCTCCTTCTTGAGTTCCCCCACTATGGTATCCCATAAATAGTTGTACTTGGGGAGACAAAGAAAAATACTCCTGGAATCAATGTGGCCGGTGGTGATGGATTTCTCGGTAAAGTGTTCTTCAATGGGGAGGAATGCTCTCTTCCTTCTATATATCCAAGCAGTGGTTTGAGAACTATGTTCCACCAATACCGACATGGAGCACGACATCACACTCTTACACGTTAAAAATATTTAAATTTTGACACGTTATGACACGTTTTGATATTAAATAATATTTTAAATTTATGTAGTATATATTATATTTAATATTCAATAATTTAATAAAAAAATAAAACTGAACGTATAATATCCATCAATTTTGCAAAGAAACATAACATAAGATGTAAATATTTAATATTATAAGGTGGTTTATGAATTTTCCCCCTTTTTTATATGAATTCTTTTAAAAAATGATTTGTTTTTGTTCAAATTATCAATCAAAAGACGAAAGAATAAACAAACGTGAGACTAGATTTTTTTGTATCAACCACATTGATTGTTTAGTTAAACTTTCGTAACTAAATTAATTAGGACTTGGATCGAGTCCTTTATACCATGCCTTAATTGGATTCAGTGACTCTTAACACATTGGTAGTGTCGGAGTCTATGCAAAAGTAAGATTTTGCCAACAAGCTGCATGCATAGTGATAAACCCCAGTGGTTCAGTGAAAACTACCTACCTACTTACAAATAGGTAGAGTTTTTATCACTTACATTTCGGCCTCAATCATACATTTATTTCATTGTCCAAGTCTTTCTAGTTCTGGTGAGGTATGGAGAAGTTGTGGTACATAGGTGTCCGGGGCTCAAAATGGCATGACATTATACCATTATCTGTGCTGTTGTATGAATGGATTGTGATTGATCAAGCAACGGAATTGATTCAACAATCATGGATGCACATCCATGTTAGCAAACACCAGCTTACTCTCGGTTTACATCTCCCGCCTTCGAGCTAGTACTCATAACATTATAGAGAAACATAAAATAGAATATAAAATTATTGATACAGTACCTTCACCTAATAATTTTAAGCTTTTAAGTTAAATTTATTGCTTTACATGCTATTAGAATCTATATGATTAAGTGATCACAAGTTTGATCCTTACATTATTTTATTAATAAATAATTAAATATTATATAATAGCTTAGCACATGTAGGTGGACTTGTGCATTATCCACCCTTTAAGCCCATTGAACACTTATTTGAGGGGTGTGTTAGAGAAATATAATATAAAATATGAAAACTTTTAGGTTGAATTATTTTGCTTTACATGCTATTAGCTTCTTTAACCAAGTGGTCATGAGTTTGATACTTATTGTAATGACTCTATTTTTT